GGGTGTTCAGTTCATCGGATTATACGCCTTTTGGACGGGGTCAAACGTCCAAGGTGCCCAATCGAGCCGGCGACCACTGCCACAACCACGTTTTGTGTGTAGTTCGTACGAGTCCTTTTGGTTGGTCTGGAACCAGGGTTTTTAGCCAACTCCCCTAGGTGAAATACCAGTGGTTCACAAACCCGATTAAAGCCCCGGATGTCGACTTTTCGTCCTCTTGCTTTGGTGGGAAAACACCTCCGAAATGAGAAGGTAGTGAGTAGGACTTCTTTAGCAGAAGCTATTTGAGACGCTTGGTCATATAGGAACATTTCGCGAGGTGTAAGGAAATGGTGACCAGTCAAAATCCCAGACACCCACCTCGACCATACTGAGGCTTTCGAAGGCAGCTGGAGAACAGCTGCGATTTAGAGTAAGCTGACGACATCGTTTGCTTGTTCGAATGTATGGAAGATGCGCAAAACGCTCTTGACAGACTTTCAAGTTCTGTAACTGGTTTAAAACGATTTACGTAGCCCCATATAGACCCCTACGCTACCAGACGTATGCAGGTACAGCAACCACAATAGGTTTACATACTTCTGTGGCGTTAATTTGCGAGCCCATAAGAGCTTCACGATCAACTGAATCGAAGGCTCTTTTTGAGTCACGGAACACAGCAACTGTTGGCCGACGATGTGTGTAACGCAATTCGATGACTTGACGCAGAGTGAAAATTTGCTCGATGCAACCGCGACCTGGTCGGAATCCGGCTTGCTGTTCGCGGATATTTATCCCCCTTAAGGATGTCAGGCGGCGAAGTGTTACAGAAATTAACACTTGTGGTTATCGGAACTAAACTAATCCCGCGGTTGTTGGCGCAGTCGTTGCATGATCCCTTCTAGAAGATCGGGACGATCAACGATTCACCCCAGGACAAAGGGATACGCTCCTCCGACCAGATGCTACGAAGCAAGCTAGTAATCGAGTCGAGAAGAGAATCACCGATAAACTTAAAAAGAATAAGGAAAAGCCCATCATATCCCGCAGCCGCCCCTATCTTTAATGACTGAATGCAGCTTCATTCTTCCAATTCTGATGGAGGCTCGCATGTTACCACTCATGGGGATTCCGCCCCAATAGCTGGAGTGACCGCCAATTGAACTGTTCACTAAAATACTCTGCCCAGGAATCACGTCATTCTTCGTTACTGTGGATACTCTGTCCACTTTTATCGCAGATGGTCTCAGTGACCAGTATGCGTCGACCTGCGGTTGTGCATGTAAAGTGAAACAGTCTTTGACTATTTCCTGATGCAGAAGCTAGTGCCATTTCACTACCTATTTTGGCCTACCAGTTTTCGCGATCGTTCTTAAGGCTTTCCCCGAGTTGAATGATTTGAGTTGACATTGCAGGCTCTACCGGTCTCTATCCTGATCCTGGCAGATTGGGATATTTCGTTTTTGTTCCATCAGGATTACTGGTTCCTGAGAGATTCAATGTCTTTGGCGAACTTCGGGCTTCGTCCCACAAGCAATGTTTGCTGCTGAGTGCATCGCAAATCTAATTTGATTCCACTGCTGGTCTACTACACTAAGTCACGGTTCTCCTAGCTCCTGTCCCAGCTTCTCCTCATAACGTGCCCAGAAAGAAGGATCCCACAGAAGATGATGAGCTACCTGAGGAGGCGGTTTCTGCCGATGACCGATGAATCGAAGAGTGAAGCGTAAGTGCATAATCCGACTCAACGCAAGTGGTCCAATAGAATCTGCAATTTTGTACTGACCACGCCAACGTTTGCATACAGCTGTAGTCAATTTGGGTGAAATATCCCGTTAAATTAGAAAATCATGTAGCCGTTCGAGGAAAGCTGTATCGAAGTTGGTGCTAGATGGGAACAACGGATGATCCGTGCAGAACTGAAGTAGCCGATCACCGTTGTCTGTTCGCTGGGCAGGAAGAGCGACGTGCCCTCCTGGACAGGCCTCGGACGCGCAGTTTTCCAACCTGTGCGTTAAGATCACTTGCCAGCACTGCTGCGGCTCAACCGAATGAGTTCGGAGAGTTTGTCGTAAAACTCGTCCTTATGTGAAGCGGGACTGCAGTTGGTTGGTGTATATGCGGAAACGATGAACAAACACCTTTTGGTGTTGCGGCCCTTCCGAACACTAACTGCACCCAATAAGAAACGGAACATGGACGGGACAGAACCCTATCGGCCAGGGGTTGCTCGTCTTGGGTGGGTGCGAAGACTTCTCCCACTGCCAGGAAGAAGCCCCAGATACCTCGCTTCCAAGTCCATCTAGCGGGGGATTTTGCCGATAAACTGCATCACCCAGTGTTTAGTTGGTGGGGTGACCTCTCCAGAGGATAGCGAAGATAGACAAAGGAAGTCAGGTGCCGAAACGCTTGGCCTTGAGATAGCTTTTTCTGGTCTCCACGCATTTACCTCTAAGGCATGATGGGACCTGCAGCTGTAAGGAGCCACCTTTTATATCTCGGAGGGTCATGGAGGTGCACAAGCCATCACACCACATAAAGGTGTAGCCCCTCAATATACCCCCGTGAGTTCACCTCTTCAAGCAGCTCAAGCTATGAAATGGTAACAAGAACACCACCGTAGTCGGCGTTTTGCGACACTCCTCTTTGCCTCAATCAATCATTTCCATTTTTACCTCAACCTGGAAAACGGAAAACACCTGTCCCATCTTACCGGTTTACAGGTATTCATGTCTCATCTCTAAGTCACCGGTTGGCCGTGTGATTTCCTCCGAAACAGATCAACAACAACCAAAGAAGCGCCATGTTGTATAGCATACACAACCCTTCCGCTTCAACGAAATAGCATGTCGACGCCGTTTCACTCAAATGTACATCGCTTGAGCAAAAGATATACCAACAGTCAACTTAACTGGGCTGGTGTCCTTGCTGGCGCCAGCACCAGGTAGGAAAAGGAATCAACTACAGTCAACTCTCAACCAGTTGGTTTTAAAGCAAATAAAGAGCGTGTACCGTGCGGTACAACAGAACTGGATGATCTGTAAAGTGCATTTTGCGCACCCTGCACACATCGGAACAGATGACCGAAGTCCTCAGCGTACAGTAAATCACGGCTTTTCTCCAACCGCCCACCTAATGCTAATACTTGGGAAATTCTCCAGTATTTCGTCTATGCTGAAATACAACATCTTTGACGAACATCAATGCGGAGTCCCAATAATCTGTCTCACTGGCCTTTGCCCAGTACGCTATATCAAGTGTTCCAGTGCAGTGACGTTAAAAAAGTAACAAAATCCAGGGTTAGTGTACAACCAAACGTCAAGGATCTTTATAGTTACCTTCATTCCACTGCGTACTTTGATCAACTAGTTTCATCATCATCATCGTACAGCAAAATACAGTGGAGTAAACTTCACCGACCGCTGCCAAACTCGCAATGCATAAAAGGTTAGTGGTAAAACTCAAGGTGGTCGGGGACCTCTATGGTCAACACACTGAGTGCACAATCGAACTCTGCATACATACCGTTTCAAGCATTCTGGCCTGTTATGAAATGACAACAAGAACGCCGCTAATGTCGGTTAGCCACCATATCCTTCAGTATCTCCAGCCAGCCAGTTGCACTCTTTCAGACCCCAGCCTAGAAGACGGGAGATACGGATTCTACCTAGTGGCTCTGCTCTTTTCATGCCTCGTCTCTACTAATCTGTTGACCTTCACGTGGTTTCCTCCAGCCCGAAGCGGCAACAGCGAATAAGGCGCAATGCGGTAGATGGTAACTGGGCATATGCAATACGACGGGTAACCAGCGAAGTCTACTAATCTGAATTCGACGTGCTAGTAGGTCTATACCTGACAGACTCCTAAATACACGACTGATTACCTCCACATTATTAGCCCGCTTGATCCATCCCACATGGGCTCAACTACGTGAACACCCATAGTCGATAGACATCTACTCGCAAATTCAAGAAATCATAAAAATAAAGCAGGACTGAACGAACCCTAGAATATACACATTTCAACTTCAGTTAAAAGTCGCCTCTACGACAAAGGTGTTTCAGTCCTGCGTAGGCTGCTCGAGCCTAGGAAATGCGAGCGGCTAACCCCTTTGCCTCTTTCTTCATTGATCACGTACGACAATTAATGCGTCACCATTAACTTCTAGCCATTTAGTTTCACTGTGAGAGTAGGCGGAACGCAGTCCTATAGCATCACTTTGCACTTTGCATGTGCAAAACTTATAACCAATGTAGCAACAGCACATGTAGGTCTATGAGGTGCGTGTTGTGCGTCCCCCATAAATTCGACCAAACAAACGACGTCCGCGGTGTACACTAAATCACACACTTATTCTCCAGTGGTCAACCAAATACCAACATTTTGGAGACCGTTGAGTGCGTTCTCCAGTATTTCTTCTACGATGAAACTGAACAGGAACGGTGAAAAAGGGCACTCTTTACGAACGGCCTACCTAGTTCGTTGTAAATCCTCACTCGACCAGAGGTATGTGAGTACCGTGACCTCAGTAAGCTAACGTACTTCTGGGGCATTCCTTTACGAAGGGGACGCATTAGAGTCGAACGCTTCTCTCAGGTCAAGAGACACTGCGATCGTTGGTCGACGGTGGGTGGCGCAGCTCAAGGACCAGACGCAACGTAAACATTTGATCAATCCATCCACGACCAGGCCGGAATCCGGCTTGTTGTCCACGGACGTTGATTTCTCTTAAAGCAGCAGACATCGAAGTATGACCGAGGCTAGCACTTTGATGACGATCGGGATCAAACTTATACCGCGGTGGCTGACGTAATCGTTTGCGAGATCCTTTCTTGAAAACGGGAATTATCAGTGACTCGCCCCAAGATGAAGAAATGTGCTCATGCGTCCAAATATCGCGCAGCACGCTAGTAATGGAGCTTACGAGGTTATTAGCCCCGATTTTCAAGACAGTGAGAGCTCATCCGGTCCTGCTAACTTTCCTCACCTCAGACCTTGCATGCAAGACCGAAGTTCAGCTGGAGAATCGCACAACACTGCCCAAGGACCTTTAGTTACACATGAAGTAACCTGGCTAGCGGCAGGCCAGCTGAACTGTTCGCCGAAGTATTCCGCCCCATTGTGAATAGCTTGTCCCTTCTTATCGCAGACTGCTTCACTAACTGGAGTTCGCCTACCTCCCGTACCGCGTATCACTTGGAACAGTCTTTGAATATACGCTGATGCAGCTGCTACTTCTAATCCACCAGCTAATGTTGCTCACCAGTTTCAACAATCCTTCTTGAGGCTCGTCGTCAGCCGACGTTGCAGACGTCATCTAACCCTGTTTTGATCCTGGCAGATCGGAATTTCTCATTTATGATCCATCCGTGTTCCAGACCCATCAGATATCCAATGCCTCCGACGGGCTTGAGGCTCAGATCCACAAGCAAAGCGCGCAGCGGAATGCATTGCTCGTCCAATCTGATTCCACTGCTAATCTACCTCATCACTTCGGAGCACGCTTAGTTCAAGCACTCGCACTGACTCATGGTATGCACGAACTATAGGAACAGACAGTCGATGATGAGCTATTCGAGTTTGCTGATTTTGTAGTCGACCAGTCAGTCGAAGAGTGAGCTGCATCAAAACTAACGTATGGTCAGATTTAATCAGGTGGTCCAACAGGACCTGCAGTTTTGCACTAAGCCACACCACCGGTAGCTTACTGCTGTGATCGTCTTGAGTTAACGTACCAGTTTAACTGGAGCGCCACGTTGCCGTCCGTCGAGAGCTGTGTCTGAAGTTGGTACTGGATAGGAACAGAACGTTTTTATTACACACTTTCGTGTGATGAACAGCAGCGGATCTGTTGTTCAATGATGGAAACTGTTAACCTAAGCCCCGGGACTTGGAGTGGTAAACCACATGAGGCCCCGCTAAGTTAGACGTGAGGAAGTCGATCACCGCTATCTGTTCGTTGGCAGGGCAGAGCACAACTACCACTTAGACAAGCCTCTGATGCGCTCAGTTTTCCTTTTCTGTATCAGAACCGCAATGGGTTGGTGCATATGCCGATATGATCAACAAAAACGTTTTGGTGCTGCTTCCCTTACGGACGTTGATTGAGCCTTGGAGGCTATGATTCATTCGATTTGTGAAAATCCTTCCTTTAAAGCCCTGTTAGTGCATCTTGGTTTTACATTTTGTGAATTTATGATCCAGTCACCGAACACTATCCGCCTCATATAGATATAGATATTTGACGTTACACTCCCCTTGTATATTTACACATCGATCCTACCATTTGACTTTGTTTGTTTGTCCGCTTCAATTTTTACCCGACTTGTTTTAATCGCGACTTGAGCGTTAACATTTGGCTCGTTCAGGTGTAGCGTGACGGTGAGCGTGCTATTTTTATCCAGGCTCATTTTCTTCCATTCAGGTTTGTTGAATTACGCTCACGGTAGCACTTGGTTTTTGTTTTCAAGTTGTTTCGAGATCACTTTGAGGTTTGTACAGCTTTTGTTTGCTTATTTGATCGCTTATTAATGCCGTACCGTAGCAATTTGCCGGATCGTCCGCTTTGTTGACGTTTTGGGGCCCGAGTTTCGGCTACGCGTCGCTCGTTGATGTATTCGTGAGCTAAATTATTCGAAATTCGCACAATTTGGAACAAGGGAATGTCGTTCGAACAAGGAAGGATCCAGGAGGAAGGACAGGAAATAACCCGGCAAGTTACTGGGGAATTTGAGGGGTTTCTGATTCTCACATTTTTAATTCAGTTAGCTTTGTTAGTTCTAGGAGTTTATGTGCCTAATTTTGTCATGATGACGTTAAGATTTCTGATTTATATCTCCGTAAGATTGTAG